TTCATCCTAGCGATTGAAAGCTCCCCGATGCAGTGTCGTGGGGGCGTCTGGATCGAGGACTGGGATGAAGCAGTCCTTAATAACGGACAGTGAGACCATCGTTACGAAGAACAAGGAGACACAGCGGATAGTCGACGATTGGATGACTGCCCACTGCATCCCCTTCAACATGATGAAGAGTGAGGAGTGGGACAACATGGTCAAGGCGTTGATGAATGCGCACGAGTCCTTCAAGTATGCGAAATACGAGAAGGCGAGGACTACTCGTGTGGAGGTCACGAAGGGGAGGGTTGCAGTAAGGGTGGAGGAACTACAGCGGCAGTGGCCTGTCACCGGTTGCTTGCTGCAACTAGACGGTTGGACTGATCGCAGAGCAAGGCCTCACATCAATGTGATGGTGTCCTTCCCGAAAGGTGCGATCTTTTGGCGTAGTGTGTGCATGAGCAATCGGAGCAAGGGGGCGGTTGCGTATCGTGAAATATTGAAAAGGGCGATCGAGGAGGTCGAGGAGGATGCTGTTGTAGGGGTGGTCATGGACAATGCCGCAGTGTGAGCAGCGGCAGGCCGGATGATCGAGGCTGAGTTCCCTCACATCTTCTCGATTCCCTGCACGGCGCACAGCATCGACCTCATGCTGGAGGCATTCACCAAGATTGGTTGGGTCGATGTGACGATCAGGCGCGCAGTCGAGGTTGGCAAATTCTTCACCAACCACACGCGTGTGAGGGACCTGCTGCTCTCCAAATCGGGCAGGGAAATTGTGGCGAAACCGGGCGCAACCCGGTTCGCCACAAATTTTATCGTGCTGAACAGTCTGCAACGCCTCTACCTGCCTATTCGATCTTGCTTGATCGATGAGGCGTGGAAGGAGGGTATCGTCAACCCTATACAGCGGCATTTGTTCCACGCAGCCAACGAGATTGTCCTCGACGACATATTTTGGGTTGGTGTGCAGAAGCTGTTGGAGACCTCGAAGGGTCTGCTGAGCCTTTTGAAGTTCGTGGACGGGGATGGCCCCACGATCAGCAAAATATATGGCCGCATGGATACTTCGGTGGAGAATTTGAGAGAGAGCAAGACCTTCACGGAGGTGGAGAAGGAGGAGCTGGAGACCATCATCATGCGACGATGGAATGTCATGACATCTCCGCTGCATTGCGCAACAATGTTTTTGGATCCTGAGTACAAAGCCACCAAGACGGAGCAAGATCTTGAGGTTGCAAACGGGTTTTGGACGTGGGTGTACGCTTGGTGCAAGCCAGTGATGTACAAGGAGGTGGATGCCGAGGTGAATAATTGGATCGATGGCGTCGGCAAGTTCAGGTCGGAGACGGCGACACAAGAAGCACGCGGGATGCAACCTGCACGGTGGTGGAGGAAATGGTGCAGCAAGCTGCCCCACCTCCAAAAGCAAGCAATCCGGTTGCTTGGCCAGGGCTCCTCCTCCTCCAGTTGTGAACGGAATTGGAGCCTTTTCGAGCGCATCCACTCCCGTCCGCGAAACAGGCTCGAAACGGTGAAGCGGAGCACCTTGGTGTACAACAGATGGAATCAACATCTGTTGAAGAAGTTGACGAAGAAGCCGAAGATGGGAGAGGATGAACTTTTGTGGGAGGAGGATTTGGACCTCGAGAAGAAGGAGGTCCAAGCGCATGCGAATATGCGTGTGGAGGAGTGGCGGTGCCATTTACGGGAGGAGAATAGGAGAAGGGAATGCGATGATGAGTCGGAGGAGGACGACAGAATGGAGGAGGAGGATGACGATGTCGCAGATGCGGTCGAGGCAGAGGAGAATAATGGAGAAGAAGGACAAATGGTACGCACACGGATCCAGGGCAGTCTCCTTGAGCTTGAGCGTGAGCTCAACGATTCTTGGCGAAAATCAACGAAGCCGTCCAAGTATTTGGCTCGCCTTCATTTGGGGGAGATGCAGGAGGCTGCGAAGACCATGAGTGAGGCACACGCTGAAAAAATTTTGGCTGCCCGGCCGAAGGCATCATCATTGGCACCAAAATCGGCCAAGCGTAAACCGGGGAGGCCACGAAAGGTTGTGGAGGAGGGGGCTCTAATCGAGGATGGTGGTGGTGCCATTGAGAATGGTGCGGAGGACGAATCTTGTGAGTCCCAAGAGCAGCCCGCCAGTGCCGCACCCAAACCGGCGAAACGCAGGCTGGGGAGACCACGGAAGGTCGCGGAGGAGGAGACTACTGCAAGGGAGGAAACTGTTGCAATGGAGGATAGCGAGAATGATGCGGAGGGCGAGAAGGGGGACGCCTTTGATTCTGAAGAAGAGCCGCTTGCATGCAAGAAACGCAAACAATCGGAGTCAACAGACTGAAGCGGGATACTTGGCGGTTGGAGCGGGTGTGGAATTGGACCTTGGGGGCTGGAGCGGGTGTGGAACTTTGTTGTGTGTGTGTTTGTGTCATGTGTCCCGGTTCAAGATTCCAAGTTCCAAACTTTGAGGTTCAAAGAACTCTTAACGTTTCCAATATGATCATTGATCATTGATTAATGAATAAAATGTTGAAGTCATTGTCATTAGCACTTACGGCCAGTCCCACAAACGTGGATGTGTCTGTGTCCCTTTTTTTTTTTTTTTTTTTTTTTTTTTTTTTTTTTTTTTTTTTTTTTTTTTTTTTTTTTTTTTTTTTCGGACAACCGGATATTAGCACAACAAACCGGACATATCCGGTGTCCGGTGTCCGGTGTCTGGTTTTATGTCCGGTTAACCGGACGTCCGGTTTGACCCGGACACGGGTCCGGTGTCCGTGTCCGATTGTCCAGTTGTCCGGGTCCGGAACAACCATGCACATAACATATTTTTCTTTCTCTTTTTTTTTCTTTCTTTTTTCTGAGGGTTTTTTTTTTTTT